CCCTGGGTTTGTCCTACGACAAAGGAGAACTTGTGGTAGAGGAAACGTGTCGGGATTATACACTGCACTACTCTGGCTTGATTCCAACTGGGGATGCTGACGAGACCCAGGTGAAGTCTAAACTGCAGTCAGTTCTAGATGAGATGATAACTTGCTTTTGAAAAGCAAGTTAAGCGAAATTCAATGAAAGCGTAAGGCCTACTCATATAATCGTGGAAAAATTCCTAAAATCAGTCCTTAATCACCTGAATTGATCTAAAGTGAATACAGATCTTGTTTAAGGTAGTTTAGTTTTTTAATAAAAGGTAGTAGTTTCAAAAACAATCTAGTATGACCATTAGTTGCTCGTACTCACCTTAATTTGGAGTAACTATGTGACGGAGGCCAAAAAATGGCTCCCACCCAGAGTCAACGGCGGATTCATTTTAGCCAGTAGCCGCTTGAATTTACTTCAACATTGCGTTCGACATTATTTTCTATGATTCCGATGGTAAGATGCCAAACTGTCCTCCAACATTATGATGGAAATCAGATCAGGGTGTCGCTGTGACAACGTATCATTCCAATTCGAAGTAATCGGCCAGTTTATCCCTATACGCCCTATTTCTACTCCAAGCATGCATTATTTATATATATATATATATTTATTTATTTTTTATATTATATATCAATATAGAAGAATGTGTGTGCATATATTTGTTTTTTGACACATTAAGTTGAATTAGTTGTGAAAATGGTACTCTGTTAAAATGAAGTCCGTCAAGTGACGGACGAAAGCTGAGCGCATTATTCCCGGAAATGAAAGAGAATGCCTATGGAAAAGCGTTAAACAGAATAGTTAAGTAAAGCCAAAAGACATAGGACCGAAAGGAATCCACCGTCGTGTTCTGGTGGGATCGATCTTAGAATCTTTAATCAAACACTTTCCCTCGAAATAGAAGTGAGCCCAAAATTTATAAACCAAGATACTCCTCGAAGCCAAGATTTCTTTGAATAAAGTTTAGCCTCAAAAAAGCGTAAACAAAAATGCTGTATACTTTTATTTGAATAGCCGATAGATGCTTGTCAAGAGCTATACAATAATGGCATGCGTAAGCAAGTGCCTGAAAAAAACTAAGTTCAGAAAGCTTCCAGTATTGTACACCATGCATATTTCGTCTGCCCCAACCCGGTGCTGATTATGCTCAATCATTAGTGTAGAAGTTTGACAATAGCAAACAATAGTCGGCACCCATAAAGAGTATATGCATATAATGATAAATATAAAGGCAGTTTTGCAGAAGGATTTTAGATTAAATTGGGGCTTATTCGCTGATACAACTATCACACTAAGTTGTATGATCCTCAAAGTCAATCGCAAACGAGAAATTACACTAAAGTAAGAAGTGTCCTCTGGTTGCAGGACTGTTACCGATCCATAACTTAACGCTATTACCAGCCAGCTCTAAATTTCATATTTTACAGCATGAGTGTAAAAACTAGTAAAAGATAAAAGCCATAATAGCCTATAAGTTTTGTGAACATACTATCAAGATATACACGCCAAGAATAAATCAAATATGAGTAAGCCCGAATGCATTAACAATCCCACTACAGACAAGCATGCATAAATGAAAATCAGTCTTTAAAATGTCTCTAAGCCAATTCTTTACACATTAACTAGTTTGCTATCAGATTTGGTTCTTACCGGGTGCCAGGCTGGCCAAAGCGGCCAGAAGCTCGTAGTTTACCACAGGCTCTGCTTCAACACGAGGCTCCCAGCCGACAGGAGGCGAAGTAGGTGGCGAAAGTAGAAACTGCTTTGTAAGCTTGGGTGGTTTCAAGAGTCTGTGGCGAGTACGTTCTCGTCGCGAAGCCTCCTTGTGTCGCCTGGTGCAAGGAAGAATGGCTTCGGTAGTATCCGTGGTAGAGAGGCCGCCAAAGTCTCCACCTTCCAGATTCTCAAGGCCAAGGAAGTCATCAGAAGTATTCAGGGAGTCGAAGCCGCTGCCTCTGCCACAACCAGGATTTCCATTCTCTATTTCTTGACTTTCTTCGCTATCAGTGTCATCGACTTCATCATCGCTGGCCGAGGAATGGTCGGTTGTATTGTTATGCCAGCGTGAAGTGTCAGTAAGAGGATTAGCCAAGAATACTCCGATACCAGTGGTAGCCGAATGATTCGAGTGAGCGAATGGAATAGTCTCATTATTTGTGTTTCGTTGTACGAGCAAATGGTCTGGAAGACACCATCCCCGAGCATGTATGCGCGCAGAAATAGCAGCCTCCAGCCTAGTCATGCGAATCTGATGTAAAACAGTAGAATGAAGACGCAAGAAGTTAGGAACATAAGAACGTAGACAGGTTGGGTGCGTGCGCTTCAAGACTGCCAAATCCATAAATCCAGGGTAGAATAAAAATGCCTCTATTAGGCAGGATTGAGGTAGTAAATAGCCATAATCTATTCTAAAGACCCAGAAGATAAATGTAGCATATACATAAATATATGCACAAAAGGGAAAACCAGCGAGGAAAAATGTGATCAAATGGAGTAACTAATTTAGTTCATAAAAGAAATAAAAATTATGGAAGGTTATAGGTGTCGTCTATCTTAAACTATTTGATAAAGCAATGTTTAAAAAATGATAGTAGTAGCTTATAGTGCCCCTAACAGTTAGTTCGAGCTCTTGAGTATACGAATAGAAATGAAATAAGGATAAGCACAATCATGAATTGTGTTGAGTTACAAATTAACTCCAAGATAGGTGAATCTAAGTTCAAGGACAGAATAGCATCAGAGCAAGAGAAAAACTAAAATTTTGGAGGCTATAATAAGAATAAACTTATTTCGGAAAATATATGAGTATGAAGAAGGAATTCTGTTTTAATCCATATATTATGCCAAATAAGAGTAAGAAGCTCATGGCCCTTCGAAATTTGTGGATTACAGGTTTCGCCATGCCACTATAATATAAAAGGTCTGATGAAAATAAAAGCGACCAATAGAAAGCATTAGAAGTGGCTTATTGTAAAAAAACGCTCAAAATTAATAGAAACAGGTGTGTTTATCGCAATCAGAACTAGTTCAAAGGATTAACACAGGCTTTGAAAATTGAAAGCACAAGTTTCATCAAGGAAGGTCAAACTAAAATCACAAGTAAGGCATGCGAATACTCGTAAATTGCAATCATTTTCATTAAATTGTTCTTATATAATAAGAATGAAAATAAATGGATGAGAAAAATAGTCATAACAAGATATGGTGGTTATAAAAGCCAATTATTGTAAATCCAAAGGGATAGAAACATTCGTAAGACACAAATATGGATTAAATTAGAAATAGTATTAAAGGTGTGTGGAGAGTTAAAGTGG